TTTTCAATTTAGACAATTTGTGGCTCAATACTTTTTGTTCTTTATTAGCCTAGTCAAAAGATTACCATACCATTGATCTTATCATAAAATACAATATTAATGCCCTGATTTTTCCTCTCCATTATTGATACACACCAGTTTCCCTATGTTTCAGTCATTGAAGCTTGGCCTATAAGCCTGGTCTTGTGTTCTTAATGATGCTTCACCCCATACCCCAAACTCTTCATAGTTGTGCTTCTGTAATTATTTAGGTTAAAATCTTTCCCAATTTTCCTTTTCACACATTTTGATCCACAGTTAACTAATTAGAAAGATGTGCTTTGATTCCCATGTTTCCAGTCTTTGTGGATTATATTGTCATTGAATTCTTGTTTATTTCAATGTAGCCTGATGATATCAGTAAAGATATGCTGAAGTCTCTAGAGACCTGGTTTCTGTGTTAACATATTGTTTGATATGTCTGAATACACATTCAAGATGTATGAGAAAAACAGCATACATGTAGAGTATAATCCACTGGGAAAGGTTGATGATACCATTCAGATTTTGTTTCTTAATGACCTCTCTGTAGTTGTGCTGTCAGTTCCTAAAAGAAAAGAAAAGAAAAAGTTACAGTAAAATCTTCAATTTTAACTTGTTCATTTTTGTAGTTTCTACTTTTGTATTAGCATTCTTATTTTCTTCACTTAGATACTTTATTTTTTTCTTTACTGCTTTCACATGATGGTAGTAGGCACCCTGAAGTACTTATTTTAATTCCATATCTGATTACATTTACAGTTAGTTTGTACATAACATTTTCTTTGCAGCTTATTCAGAAAAAATGTTGAAAACTACTTATTGTAAATAATGCATTATAGTGACTTTGAGCTCCATTACATCATTTTGAAGATTTCTGTTGTTTTATTTTTATTTGTTCTGTTTTGTTTTAGAGAAATTAACTAGCCTAAATTTAAATTATGAGCATTTAAGTATTCAACACAGCTTGTGAAATCCTGCACGATTTTTCAAACTTCCACATGCTTGTTTTAGCCTGGTACCCTAGTTTTCCATGTAGGCACATAGGGTAGTAGTTCCTTTTCTATCTGCTGTGATCAAATACCTGACAAAGGTGACTCAAGGAAGAAAGGGTAATGTTTTCGCTCACAGTTTGGGCTTATGATTCATTGGGGCAGGAAAACATGGCCAAGAACGTGGCTCTAACTGTGGCAATTGGAACCATTAGACTGGTAATCTCATGGAGTCTACAATCAGAAGGGAAAGATGTGGCTGGTTCTCCATTCACTTTCTTCATTTCATTCCATATGGCCCCAGCCAACAGGATGATGCCCTTCATGGCTAGGAAGAAACTCCACTCTTCAATTAAAGCTCTCTAGAAACCTCCTTGTAGACATACCCAGAGGTATGTTCCCATGGGAGTCCTAAATCCAGCTCAAGTGATGAGGCAGACCAGTTCCCAAATCTGTTCCAGGGTAATAAAGAGAATGCTTCAGAGTAGTGGGGACTTGGGAAAGATTCTTATCTGAGGGTTGCTACAATTTCCTATCTGAGGTGAAATTCATACTTTCTGCTTAAAAAAAGAAAAGAAAAGAAGAAAAAAAAAAAAACACATGCTATCCTTAGTAACCTTCTCTTTTACTTCAACTTAAATAATCTCTTTCTTGACAATCTTTTTACATACATATATCTCTCTCCTGATCAGCTACATATGTCTATATTCTATGTACATCTCCTTTCACATGGCTACACATCTTACTTCTACCTGTGTTTCTCTTCTACGCCTTATCTATACAGCTTCTTCTTCCTTGCCTCTGCACACAGCCACAGCTACGCATCTCACATGCCCTTCCATATGGCACTTTATTCAGTTCCTAGGTGCAGCTTCTCTACATAGCAGCAGCTCTTTCATACAGCTCTCTCTCTCTCTCTCTCTCTCTCTCTCTCTCTCTCTCTCTCTCACACACACACACACACACACACACACACACACAAACACACACACAAACACACACTTCTACATCTTTCACATTCTCTTTACTCACTCATTCACTCCCTCACTTCTCTCTCACAGCAGCCTTCTGCATGCCCTTAACACAGTTTCTCCTTTATACCACTGCTGCCTCTATCTTTCTTGCCTTCTCTGCTGCCCTTCCACAGCCAAACTCTAGACAATTGTAAGTTACATTTTCAGGGCCTGGCCCATTCTCCAAACACATGATAAGTAATGTGCTTTCTCTTAGGCTAGTGATGTCACATTGATCCATGCATGTAGCTCGAAGTTGGTGAGGGATCCCAGACAGTAAGCAATTAGCTGAATCTTGAGGTTGAGGAGTGTGTGCAGACTAAAGTTGCTTTAAACTCTGACCTTGAATCAGTAAAACAACGCCTGTGAAAATGACTTCATGTAAGTGTCTCTAGGGGCAACCAGGTATTGTTTCCAGGGACAACTAGCCTGTTTTGAATCAGCTCTGAAGTCTAAAGTTAGCTGTCTGTGTAAAAAGGTATCTTTGTGACTGAGAATCCTATGTCAGTCTGAGTATGTAAAATATCCTAGTATTATTTCTATTCATCAAAATTTTACAGATAGTAGAAATCCTCTTTCTGACCAGTAAATGGGGTATTTTCATGAGATAAACACACAACCAGTGGGGATGCACCCAAAGCTGTTACTAGGGAAGAAATGAAGTTTTTAGGGAACAAATGAAGTGACTCATGAGAGAAATTATAGACAGGAGCAACTGGTTTCCACAGCAAGTGACCCCATAGTCTTCCACATGGGGCTTTCCCCCAGGGAATTTTGCATCTAGTAGGTCGACCTGCTGAACACGAGTTGTCATCTGCTGTATACTCCCATGGCCCTTTGCAAAGTGGCACTAAAAATTAACATCAGATATAATTTAGTAAATAGCTAACTATTGGTTACAATTTACTTACCACATAATTTTTCTTTTTTTTAGTGATTGCAAGATATCACTGTTTTATTATTTTTGTGCTCAAATCCAGGGCCTTATGTGTGCAAACAGCTACCCTACCATCAAGCTAGATCCTCACCCCTGGCAAGATATTTCTATATTTTTGTAATTATAATTTGTCATTGATGTATATTCATTGTACATGATGCTGGATTCCATAAGAACATTTTATGCAAATCCATTAATTTATTTTGAACATATTGTCCCTAACCCTCTCTACTCTGCTTAATTTGCCTCCTGCCAGTCTCCTTCACCCCCTTGGATAATTGTCACTTTTACTTTCATGTCATATATACAACCATGATTTTATCTATACAAATTCTAGGATATATAGTGAGACAAAACATGATATTTATCTTTCTAAAACTAGCATAATTACTAAGTATGATCATTTCTAGTTACATCTATTTTCCTGCAAATGGCATCATTTTGTTCTTTATGCCTGAATAAATTCCATTGTGTTATAGACCACATTTTATCTATCCTCTGTTGACAGACAACTAGGATGGCTCCCTACTTTGGATGTTGGAATTGCTTCAACAACCTCCCATGTATAAGTCTTTCTGTGATATGTAATAATCCTTCAGTTATGGAGAACTGGAATAGTTAGGTCATATGGCAGTTCCTCACCAGCACTGGTTATTGTTTCTTTCCATGATAACTGCTAGTCTGACGGAATGAGATGAAATTTCATTGTGCTTCATTTTCATTTCTTTGAGGGCTCTTGGTGGTGTGTGTTTTTCATAGGTTTATTAGCCTTTGCTACTTAATCTTTTGAGAACTATCTGTTCATTTCTCTAACCCATTCATTGATAGAGTTGTTTAATATCTTGTTTGTTTTTTAGTGCTTTCCTTAATTGTATAATTGTTAAAGATTCTTCTTGTATTCTGTAGCCCATGCCAAAGCTTTTTAATTTCATAAAATTTCATTGTTCAATTGTTGATATTCTTTTCAAGTTTTTGCCTATGCTCAAATTTGAAGTATTTTAAAACTTTCAGATTCTTAATTAGATTTACCCAAGGGATTTTGTTATTTATGTGTGTGTGTTGTATGCATCTGCACATGTTTAAATGTGTATGCAGGTGAGAGCACACATGTTTGTCTCGGAAGGCAGCAGTCAACCTTAGGTATCTTCATCTTTTGTTATTACTCTTCTCCCTGAAACCAGAACTCATTAGTTCTTCTAGAGTAGCTGGCCCGGTCCAGGACTTCACCTGTCTCTGTCTTTGCAAACAAGAATTACATGCACATGTCAACACACCCAGTTTTAACTCAATGCTAAACTCTGATCCTCATGCTTGCACTGTCATAGTTAGAGTCACTAAATTTTTTTTTCTGACATTTATATTTAAAAAGAAACCAACTCTTATTTCCTTACTCAATTTGACATCTAAATTGTTAATTCTCTCTTTCTCTCGCTCACTTTCTCTATCTCTCATACACTGTGTGTGTGTGTGTGTGTGTGTGTGTGTGTGTGTGTGTGTGTGTGTGTGTATTTATCTGACATTAGGTTTATGGGACATCTCAGCAGGTAAGGTTGACAACCTGATCCAGTCCCTGAGACCATCATAGTGAAAAGCGAGAACCAACTCCTACAAGTTGTCCTCTGACCTCCAACTGTATCGTGTGTCATGTATACCTACACACACAAAATAAATAAAACATTTAAAAATTTAAGTCTTATTGAAAGAGATCAAGGAGAGATGTATGGGGGAGGAGAAGTAATATAATTCTAATCTAAAACAATAAAAATAATTTTGAATAATTTAAATCTGAACTCTTATAAACATACATAAACCTACATTTTTGGTTTTCAGAGTAGTATAGTAGTTGGAGTATGATCTTTGTAATAAGGAAATCTGTATTATGAAATCCGCATTTTGATTGTCATAGTTTTTCTGTGCATTAGGAAAACATAATCTATTACCTTATATCACATACTTGTTTTAAAGGTGAAATGCAAATAAATAAATAAATAAAGTATAATTACACTGGGATTCTAATGTATTTTTTTAAACTTTTTACAGAAGAAGATAAATATAATATTTATTCACCTTTGCTCTTCAAGTATTTCCTGGCAGAAGGAATTGTCAATGGGCATACTCTGTTGGTTGCATCTGCCAAAGAAAAGCCTGCCAACATTTTACAGGTATGGAATATAGTAATTCAACATACATTTTGAATGTTTCATGAAGAGAAATTATATACAATCAAGACATTTACTTGCAAATTATATTTAAATACATTAATGTGAGCTTTTGTTTTTTCTGAATTGGGGTCTCATTCTAGACCCAGGCTGGCTTCAAACTAACAGCAGCCCTACCTCAGCCTTTGGAATGCTAGGATCACGAGCCTGATTCATCATGCCTGCCTCTTTTTCTGATGGTTTGATTTGGTTTGGTTTTGGTCTTACTGTGTAACCCAAGTTAGCTTTGAACTTAAAATTTGTTCTCTCGTCTTCTTGAGTGTTGGGATTATAGGCACTCATTACCACATAAGGCTATATGTATGTCGGGGCTGGGTGGGGGGCAGTTTTTGTTTTTTTTTTAGCTAAATGAAAAAACATGTATTTTAGCAGTTTAGTTTTAAATAAATGTTGCTCGAGAGTTTTCTTTTAATCAGAAGTAAAAATTATTAAATAACTATTTAAAACTAAACATAAATTATTGAATCAGACATTATTTATGTTTAATAGCAAAAATACAATAAAAGTTCAATTTATATTGCTCATTGAAAAAAGAGGGAAGCATAATCTTTTACTTCTAATTGATTTTCTCAGTTGGACACAAATCTTTTTTCATCCTAACTGCTACTATGCTCCGGCAAATTTTCTAGAACCAAGTATTGGTTTCCTGCACCTACAATATGAAGTAATTCATAAGAATTCTGCAAAAAACATTTTACCATATTGATTTTCACTTCTTAAATAAATAAAAGTGTAAGAAGTAAGTACAATGTGGTGTGGGGTCGTCCCTCCACAATTCCTCCTGGAAAGGTGAGCATGCTATCTGCCTTTCCCCAGTCCTTGCCCACCACAAGGACAATCAGATGTGACAGGAAGCCTGGTCAGGAGTTGGAATATGGGGTGGGAATCTTATAGGATGGAGTAAGGTGATCTGAAGACACAGGGCCAATAATATTCCACCAAGCTAGTGTTTAGCTAGGCAGGGGGCAGTCTTACATCAGGCCTTGCTGAGTCACTCCCAAGAGGAAGTTATTGGCCAAAGACAGGTTGCCAAGCATTAGCCAGGCTCAGGAATTTCCACTAGACCTTGTGCCCAGGCCTCTTTAGGCCCTACAATGTGGTAAAGGACATAAATAAAAATGATATATTTGTATTCTGGTGCTTTTACTACTTTGTGTTGTTCATTTGTTTGGTTTTTAGTGTTTTTGAGATAGGGTCTTTCTAGTATGTAGTTCTGGCTGTCCTGAAACTCAATATGTAGACCAAGCTAGTCGCAAACCTGAGATCCAACTCCTGGAGGTCTACCACCTCTGTATCATGAGTGTTAGGATTAAAGATGTGCACCACCATACATGACCCTGCTTTATGATTTTATTTAACATGTGCAGAAGTAAACTGGTTCCAAGTCATGAAAATATTTGGCATTCTTAAAGCAAACATTAAGCCAAAGTTTTAGTCTAAGCCCACATAGAGAAATGTAAATGTTCATAGCAGCTTTGTTATATGTAGTTGATAATGTTCATTGTATTCACTATAATAAGAGAACTCTGAGAAAGTTAGCTATAGAAAATTATCTTCAGAGTGTCTGGAGTTGTATTGATAAAAAGACAAAGATAAAAATCAGGGGGTATAGAAATTACAAATATTGTCATTTGATAGTCTTTTCCTTTGAGAATATTAGAAGTAACTATTTTCCAAGTAATAAACAGTAATGATAAAGTATATGATCTATGTTCTGTATCTTTTCTTAAGACAAGAATGTTTTTGATCTTATAATGAATAATTCTGACTTGTGGAGTATTAATTCTTTTTTCTGGAACAGAACCTCAGATTAAGCCATTAATTAAATAATGTTAATGACCTGGACGAATTTTCCTTTTAGCACATAGAGAAATTTCAGGTGAATGTCATTTATATTAATCTGCTTTCCATTCCTATGACACATTACTTGAGAAGATCTACTTTAAAAGCATAAAAGTTGCTGGAGAGATGGCTTAGTGGTTATGAACACGTTATTGCTCCTGTAGAAGACACAGATTTAGTTATCAGTCCCCAAATCAGAAGGCTCATAGCCGCCTATAACTCCAATTCCAGGCTGTCTGATACCCTCTTCTAGCTTCCTTGGGCACATGCATATACATGATATGTACAATTTTTTCAGACAGGTGCGCACACATGCACATAAATAAAATACATTTTTTCTAAGTGGAAGGGTTAATTTTGTCTCATTGTTTCAAAGTTTTCAGTCCATGAACCCTTGGCCTCATTGCTTTGGACTTGTGACAGAGCATCATGGGGAGATATATAGTATCTGCTCTCCTAATGGTCTCTGTGGAGTGAAGAGTGAAAAGGAACAGAGGCCAGAGTCCCAGTATCTCTAAGGCCATTCCACTGCTCACTTGAGCATCTAACTTCCTTCCAAGAGGCTCCCTTCTCCTAAAAGTTTCATAACTCCTGAGAGTGCAATAATAGGATAGTAACTAATCCTTTAAAACATAGGTCTTTGGGGCAAAGTAACACAGTTTCACAGAGTTAAACAAATGAAACAAAGGATTGCAACACATTTTGCATCATTAAAACAGTGTTATATGGCATAAACAAATGTAACATACCTTAAAATAATTTTCACAACACACATACACGCAATAATAATGAATAAAATTTAAAAATATATCCCCTTATTGTACTACCATTATTTGCTTTTAACTATAATCATATCTTTAGATTAGTACTCAAAATTGTTTTAAATAGTATGTATATTTGGCTTTGTGCTACAGAAATACAATTCATTGATTCATTAACACTTAAATTGTGTGCTTATATTTTATACAGCTCTATTATACTTAATTTAATATAGACTCCTGTACTCAGTTATATTTACTAAATTTCCAGTTATCTCATTTTATATTTCTTATGTTTGATAATGGGAAAGAAGCAAAATTTGATTTTAAACAAATGGCATTCTCCTTTCCTATAAAAAATGCAAATTGTTACTTTAATATATGAATGTTTAATTTGGTTCACTTGGTATTTATACATGTTTAGAATATAATGGATTATAAAAATATGAGTGCCAAACATTTGAATTACTCACATACTTCAGCATCTTAATGAGAAGAATAAACAAAATATTTTGTAGAATAAACTGATATGCTGATACAAGTAAGTAGATTTTACTAAATAATATTTTCTTAGAATTTGATTATGTCCAACATAATTATCATTTAAAATTTAATTTTTATCAAAAGTTTCAATACTGAGTGACCCAAATCAAGGTATCTGCAATCATTAGAAATAAAGTCCAAGAAAAATAATGTGATAATTGATTAGTTTTAATTTCTCAAACCAGTAACTGAGGCATATAGTTCTGGTTGAAGAAGAGGAGAATGACAGTCTTATAGACCATAATTATGTTAAAACTATATAACTGAAAGACAAGTAAGAAATAAAAAGCCTCATCAGCTGCCTAAGATATATTATATAACCACCCAGCAATTTATCCATCATCTTTTGAGAACATAGTCATGCCTATTGTAGTCAGAGCTCCTTCAGGAAACCAGCATTAAGATGTATCTTTGAGAAATTATACCCCTTAGAAAGCCCTATAGAACTATATATGTAGAGCTGTTAAATCTGTAACTAACACACACTGTAAGTGTTGTAGTTAACTTTTTTATCTAAAAGAATTTTCTTGGTAGTCTCAAATGCAATAACTGAGTACTGCCCAAGAAAGTTTGCTTTCTATGGAGTTTTCTAAAATAGTAAAAATTCCATTTTTTTTTACATACAGATATTTAAATATTTAGCAGTAGGTGTTTTCATGTAGTAAAAATAACGTGCACACAAACATCACTTTGAAAGTTGAAGACACTAATATTTTATATTACAATCCCTTCATAAGTTTAATATCATTTGTTGATACATCTGTAGAAGTCAAGAAAATTTTCTGAAATAAATGCTGTTAAATTTTATAGCAAAGGCAAAACTTTAATTGCAATCTTGCTAGTGCTGGCATGTCAGATAAGTAATGTTCATGCTGTATGGAGCAAAGAGTGAAACCTTTAATTTGTTGCTTAAATTTTGACTTGGTTTTATATACAATATTCCCTAACTCCAACATCATCCAGGATGCTTCAGGCAAGATTGAATGATTTTAAATATGTAATCAAGACAGATAGGTAACCACTAGCAGGACAAATATGCAACTACTAGCTGGAGCGTGCTAATGTGATGTTTCATAAAGGCTTGTAGCATCCTGTATATTTAACATCATATCAGCATTAAATTCATGGTTCAAATTTCAAATTATGGTCATTTTCATATTTAATATAGTTAATCTATCAAAATTTAAAAGGGATAACATTACTATGAGTTATCACAGAATAAGCAATAGTTTATGTAAAATAAGCCATATTTAATAAATTAACATAGCAGCATGAATATTTAATACCAAAAGAATACAATAAAACATTAAAATCTTTATCATTCTTTCTCATGAACTTAAGGTTAACAGGTAAAAATTTTACTATCTTAATAAATTGAAAAATACCCTATGTACTGGAATTGCTACCCAAACATTGAGCTCACTCATTTAAGTCTGGCTCATGAATCTACTTTATTTGAATCTTTGGCTTAAATTGAAGTGAAAGATACTAGTTACTTAAGATTAATTAGAGTAATATTTTTGCTAAACAATATAGCAATTTGAATTATTACAGTTTTCTTTCCCTTCTAGCAGTTAGGTGATTAGATGTTTAAAGGTTTCTACTTGCCATCTGTTTGTTTCGTGACTCAGAAGACAGTTGGAAAGTGTGCCTCTGTAGAGGGGCCAGTGCTCTACTCCATTACACTACAGCACTTAGTGGAAAGAATACAAAATACCTCGGATCCAAGCATTCTTATTCTGCCAGAAAATGGCCAGAAGAAGTTTTAAAAAAGAGCCAAATAAACCCTTCAATATTTTT